GGGAGAGAGGAGGGGCTCCAGAAAATCCTGGGAGAGAGGAGGGGCTCCAGAAAATCCTGGGAGAGAGGAGGGGCTCCAGAAAATCCTGGGAGAGAGGAGGGGCTCGGGCACATCCCTGTGGGCAGGGGGTTCCAGAACATCCCTGGCCCATCCCTGGCCCATCCCTGGCACATTCCTGGCACATTCCTGGCACATTCCTGCCCCATCCCTGCCCCGTCCCTGGCACATCCCTGGCACATTCCTGCCCCATCCCTGGCCCATCCCTGGCACATCCCTGGCACATCCCTGCCCCATCCCTGTGGAAAGGCTGAGCCCTGGCCCATCCCTGTCCCATCCCTGCCCCATCCCTGTCCCATCCCTGCCCCATCCCTGCCCCATCCCTGGTACATCCCTGCCCCATCCCTGGCACATCCCTGGCCCATCCCTGGCCCATCCCTGCCCCATCCCTGCCCCATCCCTGGCCCATCCCTGCCCCATCCCTGCCCCATCCCTTGGAGCGGGGGCTCTGGCACATCCCCGTGGAGCGGCCGGGCTCCGGCTGGCAGCGGCTCCGGGAGCTGCGTAGGGAGGATTTGTCACAGGCCCTTGGTTGCATTCCCAGTTTTTTTTCCCGGTAGCAGCTATTTTGGAAAGCGCCCAAAGCGCTGCAGCGCTGCCTTTCCCTCCCTGATCCAGGGGCTGGGAGCTGCACTCGCCTTCCCTTCCCTTCCTTCCCTTCCCTTCCCTCCTTCCTGCAAAATCCGGGATCAGAGCTGGGTGTTCCTGTTCCCTGATCCCAGGGCTGGGAGAGCCGGGAGAGCCGGGAGAGCTGTCCCTGCATCCCGGGATATTCCAGCAGTGTCAGGGCCATTCCCGGTGCTGCATCCCGGGATATTCCAGCACTGTCAGGGCCATTCCCGGTGCTGCATCCCGGGATATTCCAGCACTGTCAGGGCCATTCCCGGTGCTGCATCCCGGGATGTTCCAGCAGGGCCATTCCCGGTGCTGCATCCCGGGATATTCCAGCAGGGCCATTCCCGGTGCTGCATCCCGGGATATTCCAGCACTGCCAGGGCCATTCCCGGTGCTGCATCCCGGGATGCCGGGGGCGGAACAGAGCAGGGTCTGTGTCCCGAGGCCTTTGCCAGGCTGGGATGGAGCAGGGAATAAAGCCTGGCTTGTGCTCCTGGAGTGTCCGCCCGGCATCTGGGCTGGGCTGAGCCTGCTTGGAATTCCGGGCACGACAGCGCCGGGGTGGGAGCCAGGGCAGGAGCTGCAGCCCTGATCCCCTTCCTGATCCCATTCCTGATCCCA